ATTTACCATTTTAACCATTTTAAGTGTATAATTCAGTGGCACTAAGTACATTAATATTATTGTATAACCATCACCACTTTGTCTCAGAACTTTTTCATCACCCTTGAACCAACACTCTGTACCCATTAAACACTAACTCCCCACCCCATCTCCTGGCAGCCCCCATCTACTTTCTGTCTCTATGAATTTGACTATTACCAGTGCCTCCTATGGGTGGAATTATATAATGTTTTTGTCTCTTCATGGCTGGCTTATATCACTTAACATTTTTAAGCTTCATCCATGTTACATAGCATGTGCCCGAATTTCTGTCCTTATAATGTCCCGTTGTATATATGAGCCACATTCAGTTTATCCATTTCATCCATCAGTGGACACTTGTGGTGCGCCCACATTTTGGCTGTTGCAAATAATACTGCTATGAACTTCGGCGTTTATACCTAGAAGTAGAATTTCTGGATCATATAGTTAGTTCTATATGTAATTTGCTGAGGCACTGCTGTCTTCCAGAGTGGCTGAATGCTGGCTTTTTAAAACAGAGTTCACTGAAGATAATTTTACCTCCCCTGATGGTGTAATGAAGTGGATCCCACATGCTCTGCACTACATGGCCCTAGACTGCGGGCCCTTCATGCGCTGTCTGTCTGTCTGTTTGTATGGGGGCCAATGTTTTTTTTTGTTTTTTTTTTTTTTTTTGAGACAGAGCCTCAAGCTGTCACCCTGGGTAGAGTGCCGTAGCATTACAGCTCACAGCAACCTCCAACTCCTGGGCTCAAGCGAGTCACCTGCCTCCGCCTCCCAAGTAGCTGGGACTACAGGCGCCCGCCACAATGCCTGGCCATTTTTTGGTTGCAGCCGTCATCGTTGTTTGGCGGGTCCGGGCTGGGGATTCGAACCCACCACCTTAGGTGTACGTGGCTGGCGCCTTAGCCGGTTGAGCTATAGGTGCCGAGCTGGGGCCAATGTTTTAGTGCCAGGCCTATTTCTCTGGGTCAAAGCTCTTTGCATGTTTCTTGGCACTCAGCTGTGTCCTGCACAGGTGAAGTTGTTGACAAGTTCCAGGCAGATGAACTGCAACTACGCCCAGCCGACAGTATCCTGTCTGTCATGCAGGAGTGAGTGACCGCGGAGTGCCAAAGGGTCAGTGACACAACCAGGTGACATTTCGTCCTGTAGGCCAGCTCTGTGTACCATGGAATTTTCTCCATATGCTCAGTCCTCAGCCATCCTGCTCTTGGTCTGTGCATAAAGAAAGTTCCATCCACCAGTCACCTGGGAGGGCACACCTCCCTAGAGGGTCCTTTAATAGACCCTTTTAGGGGTCTCTCAGGTCCAGGTTCCACTGACATCTCCATTTTTACTAGCTGTGTGATTTTGATTAAGTTATTACCTCCCTAACCTCTATTCCTCAGCTTTAAAATCTGGATAACAACTGCATACACCTTGCAGGGTCAAATGAAATTATATTTGTAAAGTGCTTGGTATTTAACAGGCACTGAAGAAATGGTAGCAACTATGACTACCAGCATTAATGTTAGTATTAGACTGTCACTGATGGTGAGAAAAATGAAAATGACAAGATCCCTGCTCGTGGAACTCACTGTCTAGTGAAAGAAACAGACATTAAAGTATCACAAATACAAAAAATGCAGGTAACCGTTGTGATAAATACTATAAAAGAGAGGTCCTGTAGAAGGAACTGACTTCGTGTGGAACTAATGTGGAGCTGACGTGAAGGAAGATAGAGGTTAACTGGGATAATGAGGAGCCATAAGCAGAGGGTGCCATGTGTCGTATCTTCAAGTCCTTTGTGTATTTAAGCTTCCTCCAATAATTTTTGGTCAGATGTATGAGAATGTATACCCAATAAGAGGTGTACACTCTCATTTCATTATTTTATGGTTTTGGATCATTTCCTCTGGGTCAGGTAGGGTGCTAACAGAAAACCCAATTAATGGTATCTTAAGTCATAAAGACATTTACTTTTTACGTAAGTCCAAAGCTGGCTGTCCAAGGGTTGGCTCAGTGACTCAGCGATATTATCAAAAACCCAGCTTGGCTGGGTGCTGTGCTGTGGCTCAAGCCTGTAGTCCTAGCACTTGGGGGGATGAGATAGGTGGATTGCTTGAGCTAGGGAGTTTGAGATCAACCTGAGCAAAAGACCTCTTCTCTACTAAAAATAGAAAAACTACCCGGGCATGGTGGCCCATGCCTGTGGCCCCAGCTACTTGGGAAGCTGAGGCAAGAGAATCTCTTAAGTCCAAGAGTCTGAAGTTGCTGCGAGCGTGATAACACAGCACCCTGCCCAGGGTGACAGAGTAAGACTTTGTTTTAAAAACAACAACAAAAACACACAGCCTCTTCTGTCGTTCTACTCTACCAAAGCATGTTAACTTTTCATGCTGCTGCTTGTCGCCTCATGGCTACAGATGGCTGCTGCAGCTGCAAGCATCATACCCTCACTCTACTAGACTCCCATGGAGAGAAAGGCAGAAAGGAAAGAGGACAGAGAAAGGCATTTCTCTCCATATGCTTTTTGTCTTTTCAGGAAAGAAAATCTTTCCTAAGGACCCATAGTAAACTCCTTATGTTACATTGACCAAAACTAGGGCATATTTCCACCCCTTGACCAACCACTGACAGAGGAGGATGTGGTTGCCAGGCTGGCTGAGACGAGCCATGATTCATGCCTCGGGGGTCTCAGGGTAATGGATGTTGGCAAGACAACCAACAGTGACAGCAGCCACATTCCCAGAAAAAGAACAATGCTGTGCAGTTACACTGGCGCAGCCCAGACAGTGAGGTCTGAGGTGACCTTTTCCCTCAACCCTAGTCTCATAAAGGCCCGCCACAAGCTCACTTTATGTCCTTTTCTGGGTCCCACCTCCTTATGCCCTGCTGTGTGTGGAATCTTGCAGTGTACGCATTTTCTATCAAGAAAGGAATTGCTTATTGGCCTCTGGTTATGAGACAGCTTCCATCTACTAGCAGAAACACAGCTTGGATGGGGTGGACTTGGATGGGGTGGTAACAGGACAGCACTACAGGAACCTGGGCAGCATCAGAGACATCTCTCCTCCATCCTGGTGCTGTCATGATCTCACTAGAGTAAGGTGAAGCATTTGGACCCTTCTTAAGGTGCCGGCCATCTTTTTATTTATTTATTTTTTTGGTGAGACAAAAGTCTACTGTGTCACCATGGGTAGAGTGCTGTCACATCATAGCTCACAGCAGCCTCAAACTCTTGGGCCCAGGTAATCCTCTTGCCTCAGTCTCCCCAGTAGCTGGGACTACAGGCTCCCACCACAATGCCTGGCTAGTTTTCCTATTTTTAGTAGAGATGGGGTTTCACTTTTGCTCAGGCTGGTCTTGACCTCCTGAGTTCAGGCCATCCACCTGCTCTGCCTCCCAGTGCCTGCCCTTTCTTTTTATTTATTTATTTATTTTTTTGAGACAGAGCCTCAAGCTGTCCCCCTGGGTAGAGTGCCATGGCATCACAGCTCACAGCAACCTCCAACTCC